CTCTCACATATGTACCTTTTGGGTTGGTTGGTGGGAATATGTCGAAACTTGTATATATTTGAGAGTGAGAGCACGCTTCTTTTGAGTTGGTTGATGGGAATATGTAGAAACTTGTTACTTGTTGTACATATGTGAGAGTGAGAGAACGCTTTCTACATATTTCCATCAACAAACCCAAAAGAAGCGTTCTATTACTCTTACATATGTACAAGAAGTTTCTACATATTCCCATCAACCAACACAAAAGAAGCGTTCTCTCACTCTCACATATGTACAACAAGTTTCTACATATTCCCATCAACTAAACCAACTAATATCCCAGTGTCTAACCATTGGAAGGTTGTAAAGATTATGGAAACTTTGAAATGTAGAGACTATGATAGTATCAAGTGTAGGTTTATTTCTGTCCATTGGTATCTTCCAATTTCTGACATAGAATCCTCTTGCAGGCATAATGAATCTCATCATGCCAAGTATTTTTGTCTTTTGAACAAACTCTTTGTTATAATGTATTTTCTGTACTATTCCTGATCCGCAGAACAATTAGTTTCATGCTCATATCTTTTGTTATATCACATTAGTTCTTCATCATCACTTATAATTTGTTTGTACTTTAGATTGTTTGTGTTTATTATCTCGTGCTTTCCTCATTTAAAAGTGTTTATATTCTTCGTAAATACATGGTATTTAGGATAATGATTAAGTAATCCCATGGTTCCTTCCAGGACAATAAAGGATGTTAAAGTTGTACTTCTAAACTCTGGAGCCATCTTGTTAATTGGCATTTTTGGCTGTGACAATTCATTGCACGATCTAGCCAGAGTGTAAACTTTAGTCCATATAGATAATAGCCTAAGTAATGTAGGACTCGAACGACATTATTAGCTATTTCAGGGTTGTATAATACGTTTTTTCTGTAGCATTCATTGTCTTACAATAGTAGGCAAACACATTTTCTTTTAAATGTTGTACTTATGATAACACCGCTCTCACTGAAAAATAATTAGCATCTGTATCTAAAATGAGGTTATAAGTTATCCTTATGCGAGGATTTGATATTATACTTCCTATATATTGACCCAAAGGTGACTAATTTTGATGGTATATGATGTGGAAATAGCACTGTACAACGTCAGAGCTTGCAATGTCCCTCCTAAATTTGTCTCGAATTTTATGGCTTTTTGTGTTCATAGACGTAAGGATGAAATCTTTATTCTTCGAATCCACGAGAGCTCTTCCAACCATAATCCATCAGAGAACATTGGAGTGCTTGGTTCTTCTACATTGGAGTGTTTGGTTCTACTACATTGGAGTGCTTGGTTCTACTACATTGGAGTGTTTGGTTCTACTACATTGAAGTGCTTGGTTCTACTACATTGGAGTGTGTAGAACCAAGCACTCCAATGTAGTGGAACCAAGCACTCCAATGTAGTAGAACCAAGCACTTCAATTTAGTAGTACCAAGCTACATTGGAGTGCTTGGTTCTACTACATTGAAGTGCTTGGTTCTACTACATTGGAGTGCTTGGTTCTACTACATTGAAGTGCTTGGTTCTACTACATTGGAGTGCTTGGTTCCACTACATTGGAGTGCTTGGTTCCACTACATTGGAGTGCTTGGTTCTACTACATTGGAGTGCTTGGTTCCACTACATTGGAGTGCTTGGTTTTACTATGGCCCGTTTGCTAGGTGTAATTTTCTCTATTCATGAGTTAACTGCAACTGTATAAACTTAAAATTATAATAAATGATTTTAAATATTACATAAGTGCCGGTAATTCATATTCATAAGCTTGTTTTTTAAAACTTTAATTTGACATAGATCTCAAATTTGCATGACCTTGTATACGTAATTTAGGTCATATATCGGTTCTACCACTATGGTGTTAAAAGCATTATAAACGTTAAAACCTTGGCCAAGGCTACTAACGACCAGGGTCGAGAGTAAAATAAAGTCTATTAATTGATAGGCTTACACTGATATTAAATTATCAGAATAACACAATTCATCTATTATTATTATTCAGGTTGTTTTGCTAATATCTGAATTTTGTTGAGGTTTTAATTAACTTTTAGTAACTGTTGTGGTTTAGTTTTATTTATTTCTTCATTTTAATTTTGGTTTTATGATCATTTTATAACTTATTATAGTTTACCCCAAAGGAGAAGGCACACACTAGACTGGTTCTCGAGAAAGGGCACGCTCACAAAGGTTTCACTACCATTCTCTCTCGCTAGTTCAATACGCTCACTTATCTCTGCCTTGATTTAGTGTCTTGGTTGGTGACTAAAGATTGTTGTACATCTTTCTTGTTCCAACTCTTTCTTCATGATGAACTCAGTCAGAGTTCGAAGAACTATATAGACACGTACTCTGAAACTTGGTATCCTTTTAATATTCAATTAACAAGCCTTAGCTGACTACTCTGTGAGAAATCCATGTGGGAATACAACAGCAACTTCGTGTCTAACAACAAACACCACAAATCTAGAATTAAACTTTGAAAAGGAAAAAATAAATCGAAAATATCACTGAATATCCCTAACATCACATCCGGTCATGAGAGGGTTAACTATTTCTTTATATTTTCAGATCCCATGCCCCTACAGTTGAAAGTGCCCCCTAGTGGCACAGCGGTATGTCTGCGGACTTACAACGCTAGAAACCGGGTTTCGATACCCGTGGTGGGCAGAGAACAGATAGCCCTTGTGTAGCTTTGTGCATAATTAAAAACAAACAAAGTAGTCATTAAACAGTTGTTCGCTCTATGACATCGAATATTTAACTAGGTACAATACCATAATATTATCCACACATCTAAGTTAATTTAAGCTATTATATGATGAGTTATAAAGGACTCACAACTTTTATATACGCTATCAGCTTCACCCTTTTTTAAGGAAATTACCCGATATCCTTTCCTTTATGACATGAACTACCCTTACCCCATTAAATATCCCTAACATTCGTAAAAGATATTTTTGGCTCTTTAATGATGTCCAAAATATGTAATAAATAAGAATACCTGATTGTATATGTCAGTTACTAGACAGTGAAGATCTAAGTTTTGACTTTAGAAAAAATAATCATGATTTAGCATGATCTGCACGTTAGGGCGGACGATACCGACAGTTCAACTTTGGAAGTTTACACCCAAGACTTTTTAGCTGGTAGTGTGATTCGTACTGATAATTTAACATATTTTAAAATATTTGGTTTCATTTTGGTGTAACTTTGTTGGAACAAGCAGCCTTCTTTCATCCAAACAGTAAACTAGTAACATATAATTAAAGAAAATACTCAAAATATTTCTAGCTCAAAGAAAAGAGACACAAGTTATTTTAAGAACTGATTAATGCTTTTTTATTCAGAAATATGTATTTACAAAAATAAAAAAATCTGATACGTTACACATCAGAATATGTTTTACTTGATTATAATACAGGAAATTAGTTGTTAACAGTATAGTAGAGAAAGTGATGTTAAAACAACGTCAAAATGTATTAAATCTACCACTTTACGTAAGTTATGATTTTTTTTTTGTTTTGGTTCTGTCTGTCTGATGAAATAATGATAGAACTAATTTTCACGATATAAATTATTCTAGAGTAAATACTTCTTTACAAAAATTTGTCCCGTTGATGAAATCAAAAGAAGGACACCTATCTTTTTGTAACATAAGTTTAAATGTTTATCTAGTAAACTATTTTTATTCAAGATACTACTTCCCGATTAATATCCTTTGACTGGAAATTGTTTTCACTCCATAGATTATGGTAAAATGTAAAAGATGAGGACAAAGCAGATTACATACTTAGGTTTTTAATGATTTGAATGTCCCCCACCATGTTGTAAACATAGACACACACAAAGAAAACAAATATTTATATTATTAAAGTTCTAAAACTCTCAATATTTGATGTCACACAATAATAAAAACATTTAAATACAATTACACGTTTATACAAGAATATTTTACACACTTTCCTGATTATATCTGCTTACATCGCTTTAACCAAACTTTATCATTTTTAAAGAATATTTTACAAAATCCCAATGATGATCTAAATTGTTATCAGTGTTTCATACCTCTATTATATAAGTTAAATATCACAATGTGTGGGATAATATTATATGTCCTTAAGTATATTTGACCGATTAGACAAACTACAGTTATATACAACGAATATTGTATGACATACAAGTGGTGATACTCCTGTTAACACCTTGGGGTATTTCATTATACATTATATAATCGTCTCCCACTAGATCAGCGAGAAGTTTACAAACTTACAACACTACAGTTAGATTCCATGTGGTGAACAGTGTTATAGATCAGCGATAAGTTTACAAACTTACAACGCTACAGTTAGATTCCATGTGGTAGAAAGTGTTATAGAAGTTTGTAAACTTATCGCTGATACAATGCTACAGTTAGATTCCATCTGGTGGACAGAGTGTTATAGGATTTGCACAATAACAAAACCAACAATACATCATATATAAGCACAATGTATCAAGAAACATTAGATGCCAGCTTCAAGACCGAGATTGTCAAGCCCCTTGGTGTCTATTTGAGACATTACAAATCCATTATCTTTCTTCTGAAAATACTGTTGTCTTATTTCTGGGTCACTAGGGCCCCACCTGGCGTCTGGATTGAAAACTTTCTTGACATTCTAATAAAATAGAAATATACCACATTTAATATTTAGGATATATTATTGAGAACATCATTAATAGTTATTGAAAATGTTCATGTAACTTGAATAACACACAATGAAATAAGTTTCTATATAATAAAGATGGTATATTTTTACTGCACAAATTAGTTCTTAAATTTCGTTCGTTTGATATTGAATTTTTCAAGTTTGTGAAATACTTACTAGATCCCTGACGTTTTAAATGACCTTGACGGATATTTACTTCATATATACTCTTACGATGTTGATTATAATTAATTACTCATGTTGCTTTGTGGTGTTTTAGTTCACTTTCTCGTCTATCACACTTTAAAAATAATTAGCTAGTGTCTTGAACAACATTCTTACCCTTATATTCCACAGCAGTATGGCGATTCCCCATACGGGGATCTGAATCATAGAAATTAGAGCAAAGATCCACCCGATCCCATCAGCCCATTGCGGGTACTGGTAGTATTCCCCATACTTGATCGTTTTGTGTTGAGACAAACTGTATACAAATATGAACTGGAAAAAGAGCAACAACGTGTTTAAACTCTATATAAATATGAACTGAGTTAAAATATAGATATACTATGACAAATTTGAAATGTAAATCTTACAAACCGTAGTCAATATGTTTGATTGTTTGTTTCTCAATTTCTCTTGCAAAGGGCCATCTACGAATAGCTGTCCATACTTCTGAGCTCACAGACCAGAGAGAAAACAGCCAACGCCATTTCTAGGATTACTCTTGCCTGAGAGTTGACTGTCACTCTTATAGCGTACTCGCAGTGCCAAACTGCGGCGCGTATTTAGGGGGCAACGAACAGCAAACCACGAACATTTGGATTCATAGTACAAGTAGGGTAATGACTAGGACACGACCGGTACAATATGAATTGAAAATAATATATATATATATATATTATTTAAACAAATTAATATACACATGTATATTGGTTTGTCCATGATCTCGGATTGATTGGGTTTAATTTTTATTGTTATATGACGAGTAACAAGACAGAGAAGCTGTGGTAGAATTGCACCCCTGTTGTTACGGTCTTCCTCTATAAAACTGTTACGACTGTGACTTTGAAATGTTGCATTATGGGTATTTTAGAGTCAATATGGGTGTAGTAGGAATCTTCATTAGTTAACTTCCCAGTGACTGGATAGTTGCAAATAAACGAAGGTTTTGGTAATTGTAAAGTTATTGTCTCCACTATTTTATTTATGATTAAACATGTCTTTAGTAAATATTCTAAGTGTTTATAGTGTCTTGTAGCTCCAGTGTTTGATGATCTTACCACCTCATATTACTGTAAAGTATATAATACACCAGTAAGGTGGCGCTTCCCAGCTGTGGGATAAACCAGTAAGGTGGCGCTTCCCGGCTGTGGGATAAACCAGTAAGGTGGCGCTTCCAGGCTGTGGGATAAACCAGTAAGGTGGCGCTTCCCGGCTGTGGTAAATTAGAGATGTGCCTTTATTCATGTCTCTCTTTTTCCGTGATTTTAATTCAGGAAGATAAACTTCGAGTTTTATTAGAAGTTTTGGCAAGTGGGTTTGTTTAAACATTCAACCTTTGAAAAAGTGGGGCTCTCATGAAGCCCCACTAAATCCAGCCCTGATGTGTTTAAAGCGTTTCATTGAACTTGTCTGAATACATATTCACAACATGAACACACGACAAAAGAATACTAGTACAAATCTATAGTTCAGTAAATGTTTGTTGATACCATAGAAGTTTATTTATCTGATAAATAGTAAGAGAAAATATTAAAAAATGGCACAATGATATGAAAACGTATGTTTTCGCGCCGCATTGACGCCATTTTGAAATCGTATTATTTTTAAAAGTAATAATTTTGCTTGTTAAGAGAAGGTACACATTCTTTACTTTTTCAGGATTTTGTAATTACATGGATTCTGTACATTTTAAATATTAATTGGTAGTACTCAAAGCTTACAGTACATTTCATAGAATATTGGTAATAAATTTAGAAAAAACGACCTTTACTTTCTGGATAATAATAATAATAAAAATAAGCGGAATCGGCGACTAGTTATTGTCATTAATCTTTAGTTGTTTAATTTAATTAGCTAACTGCATATCGGTTCAGAACAAAAAAGAAAGACATTTGGATTATATTTGATACTTACAGCTAAAACCAAAGGAGCTATGACAAGCCAGCAGGCCTTCCAGAAGATATTAGGTCTAATATGTAACATGAATTGGAGGTCATAACAAAATCGTCTGAGTCCTGTAGAGGAAATAAAATAAAAAAACAGTATATAATGACTCCAGTTACTGACCTTCTAGTCAAGTTTTCAATTTAAAATTCAGATAGAATGATATTTCCTATAAATAAATATATAATACAGGTGGTCTATATCTTTAAGTTCTATAGTTTTTCTGAAACCTTATACGTGTTGAATTTAGAATAAGAAAAAATAAACAAATTTTCCGATATTTGTCTCAGAGTTTGAACAAACCCTAAATATATCATTTTAACAATAGTGATGTTGCCCATTTAACTTATAACTATGAGGTACTTGGCAGGCTTACCATATCCCCACATCAGAGCCAGGAGTTCACAGATAGCTATGAATGATACAGCAAATCCTCCACCGTATGTGTCCATCAAGTTCAATACGTATTGGCCACCCTGGGAGAGAAATAAGAAACACATTAAAAACAACTGTACTGTTGAGAGTTGAACAAAGTAGTGTGTGTAATTCAACACTCCACAACTCAAACAAAAGCCTAATGTCGTCAGAACCTTTTATAAAGCTCATATACACAACTATATAATCAGATTAGGGCCTAACGTCGTGGAGTTTTCTACAACTTCAGATACGCAATTATATAATTAGACTAGGGCCTAACTTCGTTAAAATATTATCTGACCTTCAGTACTTTCCTTACCTGAGTAACACATGGAAGACCGAGGAGGAAGCAGGCACTGCAACACACGAATGTAAGTAGCACCTTTTTGTTTCGCAGTTTTGGAAATTCGTCATAGATAGCTGTCAAGAAAACTTCTAATAGAGCAAACTAAAAAGAGAGAGAGAAATAACGAAAGCATTAACTGATTATTATAGATTATGACCAAGTATTTAAAGCTACAATTTTATAAACTGATATTGGTAGATAATATTCAATGTGTATCTTCAATAAGCGGATTGAGGTTAGCTAATCAAATTAAGCTGGTTTAGCTGTACTCACACAAAAACTAAAAGTTATTAACTATTTTGTACGAAAAGCATCTTTCGTCAGTTGAGACGAAACAAATGTAGGTTGAAACGATTTTAATTCTACATCAGACAGCCATCGATTTCTATATTTAACTTCATTGCTCAAGCCCCATACTAAGTATGCGATTAGTGTAAACTAAACACAGATTTACTGGGGATCTAAAAACACTTCCAAGTATCTTCTAACTACGCAGAGAAATATAAAAAGAGGATAAAATATTGACGTGTCCTTCAACTGTACAAACATAGTGGACATCGTTAGCAAGGGAAAGTAGATCACATTTCCCAAGTAAGTTCATCCACTTAGATATAGAATCTATATTACTTTAAGTTAAGCAAATACAGATTAGAATTTATAGGTCTAGCTAAGACTTTAATAGACAACACGATCATACCAACCATGATCACGGAGCCTGATTAAATATTCTCTAAATACCGCATGTGATAAAAGTTTAGTAAAAAACGACCTTTACACTCCAGATAAATATAAATGAATATATTTTTATTTCAACCAACGTTTCGCCTTTGCGGCTTCATCAGGGTTAATATACAAAACTGTTTGATATTTAATGAATATTCTTTAAGAAAGGACTTGTGTCGCTAAAGTTTCGTCGGAACGAATTTACGGAAAATTAACTAACAAACGGAGACGTAACAATATCTTTTTTTGTCTAAATATAAATATCTATATATTCTACAAACATTACTTCTGCTTTAGGGAGACTAATGTAAGAAGCTTTATCAGGATAGAAAATGGTTTTATAACCTTTACTCACTCATAACATGGATGGTTTATTGTGGTATATATAATATTGATTTTATTTAATATTCAATTTGTCTGCTTATTTGATAAGTACATGTATATAGTATATATTTCTCTACTATATAGATGTACTTATTAAATAAATAGACAAATTGAGTATTATTTATTCTCCAGCGAAAATAGTAACTTAGTTATACCCCATCTTTTCTTTAAGATTAATGTCAGTTTGGGTTATTATAAAGGATATTTCATATTGTTAGCTTAGTTCGAGGATTTTGGACTAACCTAAATCCACTAAGCATAACTTTTACTAGGGTGTGGTAGTTCTTACTTGTACGTTGGTTTAAACAGACGGTAACTTTATCACAGTGTTGGTTAGAATATTTTATACATTTTCTTTTACTTATTATTTTGTTATAATAAGTATTATACATGGTTAGCAGCTGAGTAATGCTATATGATTTTATGAGTAACCTAAGCCTCCTGGCTGGCCCAAAAATATTTAAGTGTGTGTGAAGGTACTCAGCTGATGTATTCTGTTCTTTATAAGTTAATAATATACTAAGTAATATAGGTTGAACATTATATTTAATTAGCTATGCTCGTTACTATGTATAATTTTTCAGTTTTGACTAATTATTTAGCGTACTTTGATCATAAATTATCATGAATTATGTTAACTACTATCAGAGACCTGCAAAACATTTGCGGCCAATTTAGTATCTTTATTGTAACAGTACTTCTTTTAAATACAGGATTTCTAGAGTAATACTAAATAATTCTAATCACAGACACTGAAATCTACAAGTCCACTTGTCTTAGGCCTAACAATAGTAACATTAGTTAAGTCTTTATTACGTACGCCCTATATTCGATAAACATATAAATTAACATTGTAACTTCTGTACGTTTTTTGGTTTAGTTCAGTTACAGGTAAACCTTACCGCATTTAATACTATCAATAAATAATATTCTAATATTATTCATTTTTATTGTACGACCTAGCGTTAGACCTTTTTTAAAACGTTAATATGTTCTTAATATGTTGTATAAAATGTCTACTGAAGTATATTTACGTCCTCTCTAGCGTTACTCGACGATTTAACAAAGATGCGTTTTGAATTTGCGAAAAAGGTACAATTTTGTTGTACATTTTAGTCCAAATATATCTTTAATTTTCGATCAGTCGTAGATACTCGCTTCTAATTGATAGGATGCCAAACTACTTAAATTACGTAATAAGTTGCTATGACATCACTGCGTGACCAATAGAAAGACAGACAGATACACACTGTGTTTTATAGTATAAGATAAAATCAATGCAGGCACATTAAAAAAAAAAATATATATGTAGTGCCATCTAGCGAATTTTAAGATAATCATAAAATATTTTTAATTAAACGTCATATTTCAATATTATTATTATTTCACAGATAATTTACTATTGAAAATATTTTAAATTAGTGATATTTCGTTCTACTATAAAATAATTTTATCCTTTGGGTAACATACAAAAACCTCCGCCATAAGTTTGCTACAGACAATACCGCCCAGTCTTACAAACTTACGAAGTTATCTGCAGTTTATAAATATTTTCTCGAGTATTAATCAGGATATATCTATAAAAATATTTCAACTAAATATAAACATTATGTGCAACATAACATTTATGACATTGTTATAATTGTTAAAACATAGAATTACATAAAAAAATAAAAACACTTTTACATACCTCACTGTCTAAACCTAACAGGTAAAGCATGAAGAAAAAGAGGACCGACCATATTTGTGGTAGAGGGAGATGACTCAAGGCTTCTGGATAAACTACAAAAGCTAAGCCTTGTCCTTAAGAAATGAAATAAAAATAAATCATTGTGCATTCTTTACCCCACGTTTCGTAAGTAAACAACAAGTGTAAAGTTTAACAAAAACGAAAAAAAACTTCCAAGGTGTGTTATGAAACAAGGTACAAATGTGTATCTGTTAGTAATATATGACGTTGTAAAGTTGTGCTATAATATTAATAGGTTTAAACATCATAGTTTAAAAATACTAAACACACGTGAAATCCACGAAGTATGTGGTTTTTAATGAAATTGTCGCGTGAATTATTTTAAGGAGTGAGTACGTATTACCACCTACCTCCTTGAACTACATCCTTGATATCGATCCCAAGTTTATCTGACATGTTGCCCAGGACGGAAAATATTACAATTCCAGCGATCAAACTGGTAATGAAATCTAATGAACTCACAAACAAGGCGTCTCTGTAAGATGAAAAGAAAATCAATATTAATCATGGAAAAATAGAAAACGGAATTTCAGTTGCTTGATAAATAATATGAATGTTTCTTGGTATAATTTCCTCCCTGTGGTAGTAATAATAAGAACTTCCTAGTGATGGTAAAGAAGTGTGTGTAAAAGGACTCTCGTTCAATACCAGGTCTCTTCAGGCTGGTGAGTTACGCTTAAGTACACTCGAAATCAAAATGAACAAAATATAAATACATAAAAAATCATTTGTTATTTGTCTTATGTATCACATCGCTTACTGATAAAATAGATAAATATTTAATTTGATGTTGTACTTAATACATGAACTTCAAAAAGTATCATGGTAGTGGTTGAACAATTCTTAATTCTTCACCGTGTAAAATTATTCCGGATAATAAAAAACAAACAAACTAAAAAGTACAAGTTTTGATTTGTCCCGGTCACTAGTGCTTAAACATAATATCTGATTGTCTAACTTTATCTGTATTATATCGGTCACTAGTGCTTAAACATAATATCTGATTGTCTAACTTTATCTGTATTATATCGGTCACTAGTGCTTAAACATAATATCTGATTGTTTAACTTTATCTGTATTATATCGGTCACTAGTATTGAAATATAATATCTGATTGTCCAACTTTATCTGTATTATATCGGTCACTAGTGTTTAAATGTAATATCTGATTGTCTAACTTTATCTGTATTATATTGGTCACTTGTTTTTAAACATAATATCTGATTGTTTAACTTTACCTGTATTATATCGGTCACTAGTGCTTAAATGTATTTTTGGACTGTCTAACTTTTAACTTCATCTGTATTATATCGGTCACTAGTGCTCTTAAATGTATTTTTGGACTGTCTAACTTTTAACTTTATCTGTATTATATCGGTAACTAGTGCTTAAATGTATTTTTGGACTGTCTAACTTTTAACTTTATCTGTATTATATCGGTCACTAGTGCTTAAATGTATTTTTGGACTGTCTAACTTTTAACTTTATCTGTATTATATCGATCACTGGTGTTTAGTTTCCAGAGAAAAAAAAGGTAAAGAATTCCTGTTGATGGGTGGATGGGGAGGGAGGTTTGTGTTTTTGGGGGTAACAATTTAAACGTTACTGAAGTTAGTTTTTTGGGTGGATGTGGGAGAGAGTAACGTAGTTGATTACATCAGTCAAATATCATTTCGCTATGTAACAAAGTCAGTCTTGAAATTATTTATATAGTTTTCGCTTTTTGATTAAAATATAATCTAAAACAATCCTGGATATGAAATCCGACAGCAACTAAGCACTGCTGGTCACTGTAAAACAAACTTTCTTACAAGTCATTAAGAACCAGTCATAGATATTTGAAGAAGTTCTTGGGGAGTCTAATGTAAATTATCACTATTTTGTTACTTGGAGATGCGGTAGATATTGTTAACACAGTTCCTGTCGTGCAAGCTTCAACCATTATCCTTATAAGTCCTAAGATTTAATAAATACGTATATACTATAAAAGGTTAAAGATGATTAAAGAAAATAAACAACATAACCAACCTGTGAACTTTGTTATAGAATTTGTTGTAGCTCCCGAACATGATTAGGCCTCCCCAAGATACGCTTAGAGAGAAAAATAACTGTTCTGCTGCCGCTCTCCACACCTACCGGAGATATGTAGATAACTTTATGATGTATGAAAATATATATTTACTTATAGAAGCGTATGTAGAAACAGTAATAAAAAGTTTATCTGACAGAGTTGTACTTTTATAAACAATCTATCCTGGTTGAAAGTAAATTTTAACTAACTACGACTTGAAAATATTTTCAATTCAACTAAAATGTTCGGGATGATTGGCAAAAATATTATTATATCAATTTGGAGTTAATTAACTAAGTTGAAAGGTATATAAAATTAGTTACCGTTATATCCAACAATTTATTCCATTCAGGAATAAAGAAATAACGAAGACCAGTAACAGCGCCCTCTAGCATCAATCCACGAATTAGTAGAATTATGAGAATTACATAGGGAAAGGTAGCAGTAAAATAAACAACCTAGGAAAGAACCAAGTAATATAAATGATTAGAATGTAATATCTTTATATATAGTATTGTATCTACATAATGAATATTATTAAGTTAGTTTAAGTAGCCCAGTAGAATAAGTAAAAGTTGATAATGGAACCTGGAAGGTTCATTTTCAGAAACTATTTTTGTGATTCTACTTTCCAAGCACCATGTTCACCAATTATATTTATTCTTACAGGTTTAACAATCATTCTATACGTGAAACATCGCGATTTTCTGCAGAAGTTTGTTAAAACATTCATGTTAACTGTCCACAACTCACGTGAGCTATCGTACATTCTTTTTGCTTATTCCTCAAGGAAAAAAGAAAATAACGAACGAAAACCGGTACCGCCCTCTAGTGTTATTCGTCAAACAAACACGAATGTTACATTGATTTTATGAAATACAAAAAATGGTTTAAAAGATTTATTGTTTCGACATATCACGGGTTTGGTACATTTCAATATCCGTTTATTTCTTGTCTGTAGATACAATCATCTTATCGCTATTACTATTAGTACTGTGTCCTAAACAATATTAGACATGTTTGTATTATTATAATATGCGCCATCTTCAGGTCACTTAGCTAAGCTTATTTTTAATCACTGTCGCCTTGTGTTTCTCAATGTTCTGTGTATGAATGAATTACCCGATAAATTCTTTTATATTTTATGATCTAAATGTTTTGAAAACAACGTGAAATTTCACAAACCCGCAATGTTGAGACATTGCAACAACTTTAAAAATTAGATATTTGTTTTTATATGTTTTTTACACATAATGGATTCCGAGGAGATTATAGCTGAGTTTACTGTGGTAAAATTCTTTGTTTCTTGAATGACGTACCTTTCCTGATGATTTTACTCCTTTCATCAAACACAGAAATACGATGAACCAAGACACCAACAAACATACAGCTAAGTCCCATTTAATTGTTCCAATATCTTCTATTCCGTCTGACATGTCGAGAACATATCGCCTAAGAACCAGAAAGGTATAATATTAGTTATAATATGCGGTGAGTTTACACATAATGAAGTCACACAATTTAATGCTAAAGAGTCTGTGTTTGTTATTAAACACAAAGTTACACAATGGGCTATCCGTGCTATGGCGGGTATAAGTTAAATATATAAATTCACTTACCCCCATTGGTTATATATATAAGTTCACTTACCCCCATTGGTTATATATATATAAGTTAAATATATAAGTTCACTTACCCCCATTGGTTATATATTTATAAGTTAAATATATAAATTCACTTACCCCCATTGATTATATATATGAGTTAAATATATAAGTTCACTTACCCCCATTGGTTATATATATAAGTTGAATATATAAGTACACTTACTCCCATTGGTTATATATATAAGTTAAATATATAAGTACACTTACTCCCATTGGTTATATATATATATATATATATATATATATATATAATAATATATATATATACTCTATGTATATATATATATATAATAATACGTACTACCTACCACGTATTGTTACGAGAAACGTACGTTACGTTTAGTTGTACTTATTTAG